TTTGCGTCGAACAAAAATATCACGGGATTCTGAGCGCAGGCCCGAGACGCCACATGGCCGGCGACAAACGGCGCTCTTGAAGGTTGCAAACGACGAGTTTTTTTTTTAATACGCCTCCTCGGATTGAGCGAGCGTGGAGGGTGGGGGGGGAGGTGACGAGAGGAGAGGAATTACAAAGCGTGCGAGCTGGTGGAGGGCTCGCTGGCGGGTTTTTAATTTCGAATCGTTATTATAATATCGAGACCAGGGCCCTGGAGGTGAGGCTTCACTCAGTCCACGCTCGTTATGCCGCCCGCTCTCTCTCTCTCTCTGTTCTTTTTTGTTTTTGCGGAGAGGGCTTCCTGCGCGGCCTCGAGCGTGAGGTGCGCGCCCTGTGTTGTCGTTGGACCTCGCCCCCCCCCCCCCCCTGCCACCGCTACAAGGTATAGACCGTAACTTTTATGAAATGTTTGTGTGGTCTTTTTTTTATTCCCCCTTGCGCGCGGCTTTTTAGCCGCTGCTTTTGAATGGGCACTCTTGTGTCGGTGGAATTCACAGCCATCCTCGGCAAGTCCCGGGCACACTGGCCTATTAATAGAGTTCTGAAGTTTTTTTTTTTCCCCCTCCCCGTGAGTTAAATGAAACGAAGAGAAAAAGTCGCAGGGAAAAAAAATGTGCCTCGCAGTTTGCGCCTCCCTTACGTTTTTTTTTAATCCAGCTGCGTAAACGCAACAACACAAAACTCGGACTGTGCCCGGCGGGTGTTGGTTCGTCTACTGAGGGGGGGTGGTGGTGGGGGGGATGTGGGATGGGCGCTGTGGCTCCACCGACTTTGCCAAATCCGTTGGCTGGGGCAAGGCCCTCCCTCCCCGTCCTCTTCCCCGTGGAAATGTGCGGCTGGAATCACGCACGCACACAAGCTCCATAAAATATTAAGAAAAACAAAAACTCAAAAACATTCCTGCGATGGTTGTTTTTTCCCTCTCTCTCTCTCTTCAGCTTTTGACAGTAACCGCTTTCATATTCGGAGCCGGCGGTGTCGTGTTTGTGTATTTCTGAAGGTTGCTTCTGCGGCCGCTACTTAATTTCTCTTGGCTTTTTCCCCCCCGGTTCGCCACCCCCGCCACTTAATTTGTCCCCGTGGCGCGAGACAAATATTTACGTTCGGGGAAAACTCGGAGCGATATTTGTTTTTATATTGTCCGCGTGTCGGAGATGTAATTCGCGCGTCGGCGTCCCATTGATTATCGGCGCTCGTGGAGAGGGAGAGGGAGAGAGAGGGGGAGGGAGAGAGAGAGAGAGAGACTAAGCGAGGGATTAATGGGACAACGATCGTCTAAAAAAATGTGACATCGCTTGCTCCTTTCCTCATTTGTCGTGGGCCTCCGTGTGGCCTCGTGTCTCGCTTGTCCACTCAATGCCGTCTCTCGCTCCGTCCTCATATCATTGTTCGCCATCAACGACGATGATGATGATGATGACGCTTACGCAGGGAAACCTCACCAGGTCTCTTCTTCGGGGGGTGGCTCCTGGTGGATTGGAATGTTTGACCAAATGCCAGGTTATACGGGAGGAAGCCAGGTTTTTCGAGCATAGAAACCCAGCGCAAAAGAAAACCGCGTGACGTTACTAACCGTTGCTGTCAACCAGCACCGCAATCCCCGCTAACCACCACCACAATCACCACTAACAAGCGCCACGCTGTATTTGTTCGTTTGAATGACCGCTATCGCGATGCCGCGGGTCAAAGGCCGGCGAGAGGCAACGATGGCGTGGCGGCATTTGATTAATTTACTCATTCGGCTGTTTTGCTCTTTGGTGCGTGTTGTCACCGTGACCACGAGTGTCAGCCGCGGTCGTCTCCTCGGGGGCGAGTCGGCTGTCGGCGGCGGCTTGTCCCGGCGACGGCGATTGACGTTCGGTCGAGACGCGACGGCGTTATCAGCGGGCGCGGGTCGCCCCGTAAGCCGACGCATCTTGTGTTGCCCTCCCTCACAGAAGCCGTCAAATCGTTTTTTGCGTTTGTAATTAAATGTGTGTAAGCGTGCGCTCGCCGCCGCCTAATTTCCATCCGCAACCTTCTTTGATACACGGTGGTCACCAACACGCTTCGTCCGAAGCGCATACGAAAATAAAAAGAAAGTCCGTCCCCGTGGCGGGCACCCAGAAATGTACAACTAATTCGCCGCCGCCGCCACCGAATGAATGACCCCCGGGGGCTTTTGTCGCTCCCTTGCCCTCCGGGTTTGCCAGCGGCGTCGGGGAAAATATTCGGGGACAAATGAAGCCTCTGCCCCCCCCCCCCCCCCCCCCCTGCGTGTACTCGCACTGGTACGGGACACGCAAACATGCGCCGCGCGGGACTGTGAATTATTTAAGCAGAACACATCGGCCGTTCACGGTTACGTCACGGGGTGAGAAGGTTTAATGAAATATTGTTTCTTCGTCTCCCCAATAAACCTGCGCATGGTACGGCTCTGTTGCCACATATCCGCTGCTGGATGAGGGCCCCTCCCGCTCAAGGTGCGGGTCGTGGGAGGGGGGGGGGGGCTGGAGGGGGGGTTATTTTGACCGTACTTCACCTCGCTGGCCGGTGACGGTTTGGTGGAGGTGGGGAGCGCAGACGTTGGAGCTTTGTAGTGCGTCCTGTATTTTGATGTAGGCCCTGCTTAAAGTGTAGCCCTACAGCCAGTCCTACAACACCTGTTATGCATGGAGTCGGTCACCCATCGAAGCGCCATCCAGGCATAATTGACATCAATCTATATACATTTCATGAGAACCCATTTTTAAATTGAACAAAAGCGCGCTACGTTCTTTATTTCGGCGGAGCCGCAGATGCCGTCTGGCCATTGGTCGCTTGCGTGAAATCAGAACCAGTGACCGGAGCGCATCAGAACGTGTCCCGCCTCGTCGAACCTCAGAAGCTCAGCAGGGTTTGAGCCTGGAAGGTCACCGGTTGGGCACAGAGAGGGGTGTTGCAGGGCCAGGGGACGATCAGTGGAGGGCAGCGCCGTGCCGCACTGCTGCGCTCCCGCGTCCATGCTCCACGCATTCACCAACCCGGCACTGGCCAGCGTGGTGAAGTATGGTCAGATAAATCCCGCACGGCTTGGGGAGGGCCTTGTCCAGCGGTGGATTGACAGAAGGGCGGCACGCGTGGCCACCGTGTCACACACGGTGCTTGCTGCAACCGTGTGTAGATCCCTTGAACTAACACTATCCGTCTGACCATCATCTATGCAAGCAGCAGTCTGCGTAGAGAGTGAACAAGCAGCAGCGGCAGCGCAGTGCAGATTGACCAGCTGGTGCAGCCGCAAGGGAGACCAGGATTGGGATTAAATGTCGGGGGGTTCGTCGGTCGCCGTTGGTAGGGAAGCTCCAGTTCTTATCTTTTTTCCCCGTTCCCCCCCCCCCCCCTCCAATTTTTGTTTGTTATCGCGGTTGCGCCATGGACGTCGCATTGCTGTTACCGTCGGAAATCTCGCAGAGCAGCGTTGGAGTTATCGGGCCCACGGAAGCGGACATTGCAGAGCTACCGCTGAGATGCTTTCTTCTTTTTTAAATCCTTTATATTAAGTTCACTTGCGCGCTTGCTTGTTTGCTTGCTTACGACCGTGCAAATCTTTCGGTCGTTTTTTAACCCACTTCCCGTAATCCAATCGAGCTGACATTTTCCACACAGACTCGTTGTGCGTGACAATGTTCGTGAAATTTTTTTTCCAAAATTTAACACTTTTTAGGACTAAAATATTATATTTAATTACCAATTGCTTAATACTGGCATGCAATCATCTGACCCATAGGTGGCAGCAATCTCAAGCCAGAGGACGAGAGGACTCTAGCCGCCACGCATATAAAGGATTTATAGTGAAAAACTTTGTTTTTACGGGTTAATTTTTCTTCAACTGATCTCCGGTCACCACACGCAGTGGAGGGGGCAGCACTTTCCCACCCGTTCCGCACTCTTTGAGAGTGAGGGTCTTCGCATGACGATCAAACGGATATTTTGAATTCTCAAGAGCTGGAATTTAGCCAAGTTGAGTGCAGAACCAAATTTTATCCGATGGGGAGGTTTTTTTTAGTCTGCTCGTTGGTCACTGGGCTACACCTGAGAACCCAGTTTAATCACAACTCCGTCTACTCTCTGGATCTCCTATGTGAGTCTATGAGTCTCTGTTTCAGTCGGTGTGAGGAGCGGTAGTGTTTTGGTCAGCGCGTTGCCGACTCGGCCTCAAACGAGTACCTGGTGCGGTGTGTAGTAAACATCGCCACTCGGGAGACAAAAGTTGGCCAGGCGTGGTGCTGGCCACCCACACCCCCCTCATGTGCTGTGCCGGCCTTCATAGGTGCTCGTTAACAGCACTTGCCCCAACAGTCTGTTAAGACTATATGGGGAGTTTTTGTCTTTTGCACAAGTCAGTGGTGACCAGGCTGAGACCGTCAATCCGGCTGAGTCACAGGCAGCTGCCTGGATTTGAACTCAGGGCTTCGGCAGTCTGACCTCTGAGCCTGCCTGTCGCCTTGCCTTTGTGAGCCTCCCTAGGTGGACTCGGCCCTAAATTATAGTTCCAATGGAGACAAAGGTGGCCGGGAACATTTCTCACGACACCATCCCCCAGTTAAGCTCAAGTAAAACTAAGCAATATTTATTTATTTTTCTAGGTAGCAGCGACCTGTCCATCCACAAATGGTAGCTCAACGAAGTGGCTCATCGTCGGCACGTGGAAATGTTTCGCAGCCGAGTACTCGGAACGTGCGTGACGTTGATTCAAAATGTGGAGAGAAAAACCGGAGGACCCGGAGGAAAAAACATCCACGCGGCCGCAAATACGCAGCAGGCTTCAGGGTCCGGATCGAACCTACGGACCTCCCTGTATGCCAGGCGAGAGGTGGTTAACATCCCGCCACCGTGGCGTGCCGACCATGATCGGCGCTCGCTTACATTACCGTCTTTAACGCGGAGGTGTCCTCCCCCCCCCCGTGCCCTCTTTCGTGTGTGTCTCGTGTTGCTGGTGCAGAAGCTGCAGCAGTTCGACGTGCCCAGCCTGGCCAAGCTGGCGCCGCAGCTGGCGCCACTGCTGCCCAACGGACTGGTGAAGCGGGACTGCGTCGCTCGCCCAGCAGGTGGGCGACTGCTCGCGCCGGCGCGCGGGCACGCACCCCCCGCCGCCGCTCTCTTCCTGTCAGCACGGGCTTCTCGTCCGACGCGTCGTGTCCGTCTTGGTTTCGTCTGTCCGCGTGTCGTGTCTGTCGCGCGCGCGAGTCGCGGCCACCGCCGTGTCGCGTGGTGCGGTGCTCTCGGCCTCGTCTGAGCCGTCAACTCGAGAGATTTAACAACACCCAGGGATGCGCGCCGTTCACGCACACCAGGGAAAGGGGTGGTTGTGGTGCACGACTCCCATCCAATCGCGGATTTCGTCCACGTCGCGATGGCGCTTGAGCCGATTTGATTCGTTGCACGGACGACGGGGTCCCTCCTCGCAGCCGGTTGCACGGCTGTTTTACGCGGGAGATCCGCGATGTCGCGTCCGAGCAAAGCGGTGAGAGACACGAACGTCAGCGTTGCAGAGGACGACTGCGGGGTTCCTTCAGGGAATACTGCACGACGGACAAACGAGGCGCGTCACGGTCGCGATCGAAACGCGCCGAGCGTAGGTGAGAAGCGCAAGAGTCGTCCAGAAGGATCACGGTGCTCTCAGGCCCGTGCGCGGGTGATGTTTGCGAGCCCACCTCATCGTCCACCCGGTCACGTTCCCGTCGCCAGGTGAACGTCGTTGCCCGAGCGAACGGGTGCCTTGCCCAACAACACCAAAGACGGTGATGATGAAGGCCTGCGATAAGGCAGCCGCAGAAATTACTTTCCGTTAACCGAGAGGGATGTGGCGAACCTACGACCCCTCCGCCCTTCCCCCCCACCCACCCCCCCCCGTGGGCGGCCAGATACGGGCCATGGCTCCGTTCCACGCGACCGCACGAGGAGGCCCCACGGCCGCTTGGAAAATGACGGGCGAGCTAGCAGGGCTTGTCCGTCGCCGACAGCGTCTTGGGCGCACTAATCGGGTACCGGGAGGAGTGGCGGTTTGTCACCCAGGCCGATAAGACCGCGGTTCTAATTTTTAGCGTGGCAGTTGGTGTGTTAGTTTAACACGTAGTTGTAGTAGTAGTCGTAGGCTTTCGCGACCAATATTATCCATAAATATCCGCCTGCCCGTCGTACCTTTCTTCATTATTGACAACTTGCAGCTCAGCACACGGCAGATGCCTGCGCAGGAGCGACTCACGACCTCCTCTTGATACCAAGATCCAGGATGGTCACCGTGTCTATGCGCCAGCTTCTCGGTGGCAGCCCCAACATTCTGGAACGATATCCCTCTGCACATTCGCAGCATCACCTCAATCGCCTCCTTCAAGAGAGACTTAAAAACTCACCTCTACAATCATGCTTTTGAGCGACTCTGAGCTTGGCTCCGCGCCTCTGAGTTGCGGCCACTACGTCTGCAAATTTGCGCGCGTTACAAATTGAACTATTATTATTAATGGAGTTTTTTTTAGTCAGATCGCGTGAACATAAATGTGTCGTTAAACCCGCCACCACCCGACGCAGCCAATTAGTAAGAATTGTCACGTAAACCAAACGTACCAATTCGTTACTCGTTCAGCACACAACGATGTGTTGGAGAGTTAAACCCACTACATTTACAATTCGACTTAACGACGTCTCGCTGGCGATTGCAACAACCAGCTCCATTGAGTCGATTAGCCAGAATTGTGAAGAAGTCCTCCTGTTTCGGTCTTGAACAGAGGAGTAAACGGGCCTGTTTGTGCGTGGCAGATGCGCACATTCGGTTGGTCGATCTGTTGTCGTGAAGATAATGAATCGGCATTGTCTCATTCTTTGGGTCTTTTGGTAAAGCCATTTTCCTGAAGACGACCGCTTGTGTTGCGATCGAGACGTCGATATTTTTTGTCATTTTTTCTGTCTACGTCACTTTACCGAAAGACCCAAAGAATATGAATTCCTCCAGTCACGAAAGCTTTAAGTCAAGCATCGTCTCCTCGACACGTCCGCCCCTCCATCCTTTACACTTCCCGTCCGCCACAAGGCCTTCTGGGAGTGCCCCATTGTGTGCGCCATTGAATTCTGCACAAGCAAAACTCTGGGCCGCTTTCGACATCCAGCGATTCGTGAGCAGAGTCGTGGCTCGCTTGAACCAACCAACGCTTGTGGAAACCGCCAGATGTGGATCCTGGTACGACGCAAAATTCTGCAGGAATACAGAACGCACAACAACCATATGGGTCGTCGTCGTCGTCATGGAGATTTAACGGAGTTCTTCGCAACGACGATTCGTTTGCATTGTTATTTACGCGTTGAATTATTATTGCTGCTGCTGCTGCCAAAAACCCGGCAGTGACCCCGAGGTTCGATTCCCGTTCACACCCACGGACACCGGTGACGATTGTCTGAACCGATCCTGGGCCACCTCCCCTAGGGTCGACTCAGCCTCGAATAAGTAGCCCGGCGTGCGGTGTGTGAAAACGTCGCCACTGGGGAGACGGTGGCGGCCGGAGGTTGCACTGGCCATACCCAACCCGGTTGCGTGCTGGCCGGAACCCGGTCTTGTCGTGCCTCGCAAGCTAAGCAGGCTTTTGTGGACGTGCGGCCGCCGTGGAATAGCGGGCGTTTGCAGGCCGCCGTGGGGCCTACGCCGCGGGCGGTGCGGCTAAATCCGTTGTTAAGTTGTACTCCGACGCCTCCGCCAACACGGCGCAGCCAAGCGTGGTCGGGCAACCCCCCCCCCCTACACGAACCTCATCCAGCAGCGGATTGATTGGCAAGGCGGCTGTTGGTCTATAGGCGTGTATGCGGCAAGGCAACCACTGCCGCCCCCCGCGGGGTTTGGCTACCAGAGCCTGGGAGAAGTATTTGAGAGCTAATCATTAAACTAGTTTGGCTTTAGCCACGACTCCCTGCTCTCCCATCCTCCTCCTCCTCGCTCACTCTGTGCCTCCGCCTCCTCCTCCTCCTCGTCTGTCTTGTTTGAGATGCTAACTGTAATAAACAGCTGCCCTCGTGTAAGCCCCGGAGGCCGCTGGCACGGCTGTGAGTAATGTGGGAGAAGGCTTTCGGGCCTGGGAGAGTGGCGTCGTGTAAAGAAGAGACGCTCCGCTCGGTGGAGCGGCTGGCTTGCTGGCATGCTGGCATTTGGTCGGCCTTAGAGGCGTCTGCATAATTATCCCCGAATCTAGATCATTAATGCAGCAAATGGCTCTTTGGTTGTATAAGTTGGAGTTGTTGGTGGTCGCTTAGTTTAACTTTTAGTTGTTCTCGTCTCTCCGGGATAAATAAATCCCCCGCAGTTTTAACTTTGCTATTTCCCCCCCCCCCCCCCGATTTGTTAAATCGTTATCCCGATCGCACCGTGAGCATCGCTTCGTGACACGGGAAATCGGTGTCGCGCCTTCGTGTTGGAGGACGGCCCGGGGTAAGCAGATATCGTAGGGCTACCTCGAGGAGACGAGACCCCCTTCTTCATGTGACCACCAGTCCACGTGATTCCCACACACGCCCCGCAGCAGAGGAGCAGCGTCCGTCGCACGGCAGTCAGACCGCGATACGTCTCTGGAATTTGGCCTATTAAAGGCAGAATCAATTAGAATGCGATGTTTTTGTTGTTGTTTTTTTCTTCTTCTTTCTGTGCACTCATTCGTGACGGGGCCTAGTCCATCAACTCGCCGCGCTTGAGAACGCGGTTTAATCGCGGGCGGTTGAAATGTGGAATTCGAAGCGCGGGATCTCAGCGTTGCCAGCTCGGCGCTCTGACCTCGGAGATAGCGCACGCCCCGGGGGCGGAACGCTCCCCCGTGTACGCGCCAATGCCAGGCTCGGCCACGGCGGCACAAAGCTTGGCGGGTCCAGCCTCGTGAGCGCGTGTCGCCAACCTCGGGAACGGCCACGTTTGGTTTCCTCCACCGGCACTCGCTCGCACCACCTCCACCAACAACACCTCCATCCACACCACCTCCACCCACACTCAACCACACCACCTCCATCCACACTCACCCATACCACCTCCACCCACACCACCTCCACCCACACTCAACCACACCACCTCCATCCACACCACCTCCACCCACACTCAACCACCCCACCTCCACCCACACCACCTCCACCCACGCTCACCCATACCACCTCCACCCACACCACCTCCACCCACACTCAACCACACCACCTCCACCAACACCACCTCCATGCACACCACCTCCACCCACACTCAACCACACCACCTCCACCAACACCACCTCCACCCACACCACCTCCACCCACACTCAACCACACCACCTCCACCCACACCACCTCCACCCACACTCACCCACACCACCTCCACTCACACCACCTCCACCCACACTCACCCACACCACCTCCACCCACACTCAACCAAACCACCCACACCCACGGCTACCCCACACCACCTCCACCCACACCACCTCCACCCACACTCACCCACACCACCTCCATCCACACCACCTCCACCCACACTCACCCACACCACCTCCACCCACACCACCTCCACCCACACTCACCCACACCACCTCCATCCACACCACCTCCACCCACACTCAACCACACCACCTCCACCCACACCACCTCCACCCACACTCACCCACACCACCTCCACTCACACCACCTCCACCCACACTAACCCACACCACCTCCACCCACACCACCTCCACCCACACTCAACCACACCACCTCCACCCACACCACCTCCACCCACACTCACCCACACCACCTCCACTCACACCACCTCCACCCACACTCACCCACACCACCTCCATCCACACCACCTCCACCCACACTCACCCACACCACCTCCACCCACACTAACCCACACCACCTCCACCCACACTCAACCACACCACCTCCACCCACACCACCTCCACCCACACTAACCTACACCACCTCCATCCACGCCACCTCCACCCACACTAACCCACACCACCTCCACCCACACCACCTCCACCCACACTCAACCACACCACCTCCACCCACACTAACCCACACCACCTCCACCCACACCCACGGCTACCCCACCCACACCACCCACACCCACGGCTACCCC